GTAAGTATCGCCATGTTCTTTATTCTATCGGGTTCTTTGATCGACTCGCCGTTTACTTTCCACGGAACTGTCGCCGTTTTGTCCTCGAGTCGCATATTAAATTGGAGTTTCTTAACCCTTTGCACTCTTAGAATATCTCACTAGAAATATTCAATATTTTCTAAGACAGACATCTTTTGCAAGGAACTTGAGTAGAGCAAGGTATTCTTTGTTTTAACCCTTTGCACTCCGAAGTTTCTCGCTAGAAATATTTCAACATTTTCTGATGAGATGAAGACGATATTTTGTACAACAAACTCGACGAGAAATTCACGTGAATTTTTTATCGCGCCGATTATATCGCGATTTGTTATTGCGATCGATTACCGAAGGGGAGAAAAACGAAAATATTGACAATGTCGGGATTCCCGAAGCTGCGTATCGCGCGGTCGCGCGAATTAAACTGAAATATTAAAATTAACGGTGCGCGAAATAACGTTAACGTACGTAAACGTCGGACTTTATCAACGGCGACGATTAATATAATGCATCAATATTTCTCAGATTGATGCATTATATGAAGTGTAATATTAAATATCAAACTTTATAGCTTCACTGTAGGAAATCAAGTGGCGACTGAGAGTCCTCCCGAGTGCAAAGGGTTAATGTTTTACGTATCGACTGTAGATTATACGAGGACCAATATTAACCGTTAAATATTGAGTTTTATAATGTATTAAATCAAGTGGCCACTGAGAGTGGCCATTAGAGTGCAAGAGGTTAATACGATTGCAATGAAAATATTTGTGAAAGTAGTGAATCTTTGATATTCAATGTTTAAACGTGTTCCGCTGAATACGACCACTTAGAATGCGATCTCTTAATTTTTCATTTGGCCTGTGTTTCCAGTGAACCGCCAATAAGCCGATCGAAACAAAAATGGAATTCGGAAATGAGATTGTGATATTAAGAGGTTAAGTGGCGAAGAAGTAATGGAATTTAATTCAATTATCAATTCACCTTTGAAGCGCTCTTTACAGGCAATCAGATTCTGCTGTCTTGAAACTTACCCCTGAAAATGAGCTTTTAATTTTCCAATTATCCCCCGGTTATAATGGTTTCGTAGAAAAAGTCAGCAACTGTCGCGTAACGCCAGATGACAATCGCTGAACGAACAATTAACTGTGTCATTATTTCAGAACCAATGGCGAGGCATCGCGCGGTCAATAATAAAAGCTCGTTTTTTATCGCTCGTATAAAGCTCATTATCGGTCCGTTACTTCGAGCAGAGAATATTCGAACAAAAATAAAGTAGTCCCCTTTATGACTGCTCCACAATGGAGAGTATACCCTGTTGCAAAAACATATTTCGACGTTAAGGTATCATAAAAGATCAATATCATACAGCAAAGAATTTCATAGAAAACCAACCCCATAAGTACATATGACGAATTCGAATCTCACCCATTTCTCATGCTAAACATATAAAATCACACTCAGAAAAATATCTAAATCCCAAACAACGTCATATATTATATCAGAACACAAATTGTCTATTTAACACGTTGAACGTCGCACGATTTCCCAGAGGAAAATACGCCGAGTTGGAAAAAATATAATAGTAAATCATTTGATCGAATTGCATTACTATTCCATGTTCGTCTAGCTGAATGTCACTATTATCTAGCATTATTTATAATCTAGAAATGTTTTCATATAATCGTCGTTTCATTGAGTGAACCATAGTAATTCGATTTGGTCGGGGGTCACCGGTGACCCCCTTGGCAATCAACGTGTTAAAATCTGCTATTTCTTTGTATCGTCATCGTGCTGCAGTAAGCACGAAAAACTAAAATCACGTCCAGATTAAAATCGATTGAAACTCGATACCGAAAGAGGTTAACCATCGATGCCAGCTCGAAGATGAGATTCCCTCTCCGTCTATCGAAGTAAATCGCGGCCGAAAGTCGAAACACGGTGTGCGGCAGTCGTTTGACACGCCCCCGCGCCGTAATTCGTTCGCCGGCGAGCATTTCCAGGCCATTCGCAGAATCGATAACGAGTGCCGGCTGGTTACGGACGCGAAAAGGTATTTCGAGAACGGCCACGGGGGCGGCGAAGAAAAACAGGGGTGCGTGCGCGGTGACACGGTGTTCCCCGAACGGAAAATGCGGCGCCTTTGATCGTTCCGTCTGGAACACAAGGAATTTTCGTTTCGTCGCCGGCTGAA